ATTACTACAACCGCTTATGTATTTATGCATGGCTAGTCAATATGACAAAGCCTACGTCGCTGCGATATTTATCCAGAGTCTCACTAGTGTCATTCATGTATAGGGTCATAAAAAAATTATGGGTTTAATGAAAAAGGGACTAGACGAGATTTACATGGAAAACTTGATTTTATTTTGGTGCCAGACCAGCGAGCGAAGATAAAGGAGCACCAGAGCGACATGAGGGAGACCGACGGGTCGAGGACTAGGTGAGGCCATCGCCGTGGTTTTGTGGTCCATGGGGTTGCGCGTCGGGACCAAGACCGTATTAATAAGCCCCGCAATTTCTTTGTTCCCATCATGCGATTCCTGTTCCGTAATAATTATTATATTTATTATTATTGTTATTATTTTCTTCAGTGTTCCTTGACTTGAACGCGACGCCGGATTTAGAGGTCGTCACAGCGGTCAAGGGACTTGAGCGCGCACCTCCTGTGTCCGACTTACGGGTTCTTGCGTGTTCGGGATGCAGGCAAACAATTCTCGACCTTGCCCGTCATGAAAACTTGGACTAGGGAGGTCCACGTGTGTGGGGTCCGTGGTCGTAATTTCCCTCGCTTCCGACTGGAGAGCGTTGATAGTCTAAGGTGAAAAGGAATTGGAGAACGTTCTGAGCGGGCCTATGGGGCCGCAGCCCGAGGGTGGCGGGGGTCGCTACGAGTGTACCGGCAACCAGCCGCGATTTGCTGTGAGAGGTTTGAGTGTGGGCGTGCCCGTGGGGACCTGACAGATGGGGGCTGCGTCTGGGCACTGGTGGCCCAGGGCACTGTAGAAAAGCCCACAGCGATACAGGCTGCAGGGGTAGGCTGCATGGAAACCTCTCTACGACTCGATTGTCAAAGTGCTGATCTAAATATTTGCTACTACCACCAAGATCTGCATCAGGTCGCGCTTCACTTAAGCACTGGGAGCAAACGTCGAGGCAGTCTCAATGCCCTCTCACTAACTGCAGCAAGGAACTGCCCGACGGACAAGCATACACGGAGCGTTGCAGTGCTGGCTTTTCGGGGCAGACAATCGGTAGGTGAGTGTTGTATGCTCCTTAGTGAGATTCACCATTCATGAATATCAACCGCTGGTCGTGATGATCGAGGCCCAACGAACAGCCGACGACCTAGCGGGATGTGAAGAAGGTGAGGAGCAGCGAGCGGGCGAAGCTAAGTGCGAGACCAGTAGAGGAAAAACAGAGTGTGGATTGAACCTAGATGGAAAAGCCCGTTGGGTGCATACGAATACCGAGGAAGAGATGGTAGCGAAGGAGAGAGAAAAGTAAAGGTGGAAAGTGTCGATCTCACCCGTTTTCTGATGAAAACGGGCGACGAAAGATCCGTTTTGGGGGTTAAGGCCCCGGGCGAGTTGCATGGTACGTTCGGTTTGGCCATTGGGTTAGTAGGAAGGGAGCTAGGTAGGAAAGTTAATGCGCGGAGATCGAGAGGAAGGTGAAGGGGCAAAAGCAAAGTGTGTGTAACTTGCTCGTTTCTTAATGAAAACGGGCAAATAAAGATATTATTTCAAGGTTTTGAGAGCGGCCGAATGCCTCGGTAGAGGAAGAATTGGAGTTGGAGTGGCCGATTGGGCAGCGCAAGGTCTGGAGGTTGCGTGCGAGAGGGAGGCTTTGAAGTTTCAGGTGAATTTTTCCGTATTCTAACAAAAAAATTATTTCGACTATATGCGATCTAATGAGGAGAAGAAAGACTGTTGTTGCCCCTCCCGTTCACTTTGCCATCTCCATCTTGGTCATGTCGCGGTTACTCTTCGTTGTGGCCGAGGTAAAGCCTTCGATAGTACTAATAGGTAGTGAATCTTTGCGAACTCCGGAGGAAGATTCGTTATCGGCTGCGTTAGTGCTCGCCTTCATGATCGTCGACTTCAAGAGTTGATCGTCATCAGAGTTCCGATGGGTCTGCTGCAGACGTTCGTGCGCAAGCGACAGCTCAAGGGAGTTGGTTTGCTGTTACATAAACATGGAATAAACCTACCCGTACTTCAAGGACAGATTCATTCAGTTTTCCTCGCCATATCAGTGGGAGTAGTGTGAGATCGATCGTGGGGTTGGAGACTTACTTGAGCAGGCTGCGCCTCTCACCTCATTGATCCGAGGAGGAGACTTACATGCGCAGCCTAAGCTATTCTCCGTATACATCTAGCTCATATGTTAGCGGGGGATTCATTCCCACTTCGTACGTTCCGCAAGCATAACTAGCATGAGCATGTAAGTCCTACAAGAACGAGGAGAGAGGTTAGGGAGGTGAGAGTACGTACCTGGTTTTAGCGATAGTCTACGGAGTCAACATTTTCATGCAATGTGGCTGTTGTTGTTGACATCTAAGGGAGGGATGGTCAATTTGTAGCCTGCTAATAGTTGTGGGGACGGTGGTCGAAGTAAAAGAAGTAGAAAAAAGTGAGGATTCTTACCTGATACGAGGATGGTTGTTTTTTCGTCTCTTAGTATCGTGACAACACCATAGATTAGGTAGATTGCGAAGGGGTAAAGTAAGAATAATGGGCTGAAGAAGAGAGGTATGTGCCTAAGAAAAGGGGGAGAGGTCACCATATGTGGAAGACTGTTACCCTTTATGCAGGTGGTCGTTGTCTCCGCCCTTGCTAACGATAGTCGCCGCCTGGCAGCGCCTATGGTCGCCTCTTCAATCTCTCTGTATGGCATATGAAAAAAAAGCTTCCAGTTAGGCTCGAGCTCATTTTCACAGTAGCAACAAGGAGAAAACTTACTTGGCCAAGTTGTAGTTGTGGGTGTAAAGTTGGTGTGCTGCTCGTAGTTGGCGACCATGCTGGTCAGAAACCCGGTTTGCACAGTCTGAATTGGCTCCCCCGCTACATGGATTTGATCGTATTTGAGGTACGGTACGCAAAGAGAGAAAGAGATTGAGCAAGGTTTACCTGCACATGAACATCGGGAGCATGTTGATCCTAGGGTCTAACAACGAGGAGCAGGCAAGCACAGTTGCTGTTGAACAAGGCTGCAACAGGTTAGTTGCGTGGTGCAAACTAGGTTGTTGGCGGGTGCGTTGTCCGTCCTATTATGCAAGGTAGTTGGTGGAGAGCCATGAGCTAGCGGATTTCATCGCGACCTTATGTTTTGGGATATGAACGATGTTGCACAGTCTAAGTTCATTGAGTGAGGAGGTTTTGCAGCGATCAGGGATGTCATAAGGGAGTCAATGGCCGATGTTCTGACTTCAGTTCACCAAGTTGCATCATAGTACTTTAAACCATCATTGCGGGGCCCTCAAGCGCATGAAGGTTTTCATGCCCTCTTCTGCGAGTTGAGTCTGTCCCCCTCCTGTATCTTGAGAGTCTCAAAACCCCTCATTTTGCCCCTTCTTACTCTAAGTTTAATCCTGTTCAAAGAGGAAAGCGGCAGGCGAGATTGCAACCCATAGAACTACATTAAGGCTCTGCGGGAGTCTGTCCACCGATTGCGGGAGCTCTGCTGGAACTCAGGAGGAGTTCAGGAGGAAGAGAAGTGAGAGGTAATCATTTCCTTCCTTCTATAAACTCAGTTGTAACCCCTACCTATACTTCTTGCTACAGCCTGACTGGGTGTATTGCATGCATCCCTATTTGACTTTGTATTTAACTTTCAGGATATAAATCAGACTTAGGAAAATGAATGCTATGCAAACTCGATTTAATTTTTGTTGTTTGACTGAAAGCAGATTGTGAAAAGGGTTAGCATTTGAGGGAAAGGAGGGAGGAAGGTGGTTTTGCATGTGTTTAACTCGGTCAACCAAACATAAGTTTGGAGGGCTCAGTGCTATGTTTATTTTTTATTGTCTGGAGAACCAGACAGGTTTTCCATAAGTTCGGATAATCTGGTTGCTATGAATAGCAAGGGTTATTTGTGATTGTCTTTTTTTAGGGACAAAGCAGACTTCCATAAGTTTGGATGGCTTGGTTGCCTTATTTTTTATTTTTTTTTTATGTTTTATTGGTTTCTGAAAAGAGTTGAGCAAGTTCCATAAGTTTGGGTGACTCTAACTCTGCTTGTTTGTTTTGAGGGGAGATTAGGCAAAGGACTGGACAAATTTTCATAAGTTTGGATGGTCTGGTCTGGAGCCACGCACATGTTGGAACGAGAAGGATAAATTTGTCTATATCCCCATATTATTTACTTATGAATAGGCTAGTCAGACATGTTTCCATAAGTTTGGTTGATCTGACTATAACTTATCATAAATTGAAGAGAGTAGTAATTAAGAGTAAACATATGGTAAGAAGGGGCAGGTTGAACCTTGTTTCTGTTTTTAACGGTTTAGTCATATGTTGCCTTAAAAGATTAAGTGCAGAAAATTATATATAACTTGGATATTTTAAACAGTTTAGGACGACTAGGTTTGACAGCTTAGTCACATGCCCAAGGAAAATAAACGTTGTGGTGCTCTATGTTTATGTATATCCAATGGTTGAGTTATACAGTTTCCATAAGTTAAGATGATCTAGCTTTATGCTTTATGTAAATTGGGTATAAAACTGTCATTTCGTCAAAATTGCTAGGTTACCTCTCCGGACGTCCGGGACCCCCCAACGGTCCGGGTTGTCTGACCGCACCACCGGGCCGGTGGTCCGATGTCCGACGAATGTCCGGCCCCAGCGGAAAATAGGGGTCATGCCTGGAAGGGGCATCTGGGGGGTCTCAGGCCTCACGGTGTAGTAAGAGGCCCTGCTGGACCTCGGTCCCCGCAGGCCAAGGCCAACAGGGCCAAAAAAAATCAAAACAGAAAAGGCCCGACGTGGGTCGTCCGATCGATCCGATCGACGGCCCAGATCGAGCCTGAATTCGAATTCGAATTCGGGTGGGAACCGCCTGCCCGCGCCCACCGCCGCCCCTGTGCTGCCCTCCCCCCCACCCCCAGTCGCTGTACACTGCGACCATCGTGTCGACGAGCGCGTGTGTGCGCTCGCGCCGACGCGGCACCCCACCACCGCCATCATCGACGCCATCTTCAGGTACGTCTCCACGTCGTCAACCTTCCTCCTCCTCTCCCGCCATCCTCTCTCCTCGTCGTCCTCGTCGTCCTCTTCTTCTTCTTCTTCTTCTTCTTCTTCTTCTCTTCTTCTTCTTATATTCCTCTTCTTCTTCTTCTTCTTCTACTCTTCTACTCTTCTTCTTCTTCTTCTTCTTCTTCTTCTTCTTCGTTGCCTCGTCCTCCTCCTCCTCCTCCTCCTCCTCCTCCAACTCCTCTTCTTCTTCTTCTTCTTCTTCTTCTTCTTCTTCTTCTTCTTCTTCTTCTTCTTCTTCGTCGCCTCGTCTTCTTCTCCATCGTCTCCTTTTCCTCCTCCTTTTCTTCTTCTTCTTCTTCTTCTTCTTCTTCTTCTTCTTCACCTCGTCCTCCTCCTCCTCCTCCAACACCTCCTCCGACTCCACCTCCGTCGTCTGCTCCTTGTCCTCCTCCTCTCCCTCCATCGTCTCGTTTTCCTCCTCCTCCTCCTCCTCCTCTTCTTCTTCTTCTTCTTCTTCTTGTTCTTCTTCTTCTTCTTCTTCTTCTTCTTCTTCTTCTTCGTCGTCGTCGTCGTCGTCGTCGTCGCCTTGTCCTCCTTCTCCTCCTCCTCCTCCTCCAACTCTTCTTCTTCTTCTTCTTCTTCTTCTTCTTCGTCGTCGTCGTCGTCGTCGTCGCCTCGTCTTCTTCTCCATCGTGTCCTTTTCCTCCTCCTCGTCCCCCTCCCCCTCCTCTTCCTCCTCCTCCTCCTCCTCTATCGGGACCTCCGCCTCCTCCTCCTCCATCGGGACCTCCTCCTCCTCCTCCTCCTCCTCCTCCTCCTCTATCGGGACCTCCTCCGTCGTCGGGACTTCCCACATCGGGACCTCCTCCGTCGTCGGGACTTCCCATATCGAGACCTCCTCCGTCGTCGGGACTTCCCACATCGAGACCTCCTCCGTCGTCGGCACCTCCTCTCCCTCTTCCTCCCCCTCCTCCTCCTCCTCCATCTCGCCGTCCTCCTATTCCGCCATCTCCAACTCATCGTCCTCGACGTCGGAACCATCCTATTCCTCTTCCTCCTCCTCCTCCTCCTCCTCTATCGGGACCTCCGCCTCCTCCTCCTCCATCGGCCCATCGGGACCTCCTCCTCCTCCTCTATCGGCTCCTCTTCCGCCTCCTCCTCCTCCCCCTCGTCTTCCTCCTCCTCCTCCCCCTCCCCCTCGTCTTCCTCCTCCTCCTCCTCTATCGGCACCTCCGCCTCCTCCTCTTCCTCCTCCGCCTCCTCCTCCGTCGTCGGGACCTCCTCACCCTCTTCCCCCTCCTCCTCCTCTTCCTCCTGCTCCTCCTCTGTCTCACC